GATTAAATACTAATCTATTATTTCTGCCAGGAGTTTAGATTTCAGCTCAGGCTTTTAGACATCAAGGTTATTTGAATTTTATGTAAGTGTGGAAATCTTCATGACTAATAGGTTATGTTTCATGAATAGGTTTCAATCTAAACTTGGGATAACAAAATTAAGAAAATATGCCAACGAAGATAAAATTAATGAAACACCAGTGAAACATAATTTCGGGAATACAACCTGTCAGGTTTTTCTACTTTTCTACCATTATTCATGTTGATATTGCTCATCTTCCTTAATCTGAGCCTGTAAAGTATGGACAGTTATCCCTGGTTGCCAGCACTGTCCTCTCTTTGAGCCCACTGCAGCTACTTCTATTTACAATGAAAATTAGAAAAAGGTTACAGAACATAAATGTGACGTGTCAGAGACTTTCTCATCCCATATCAAAAACACAGTGAAAGATCTTATCAACCTGGCTGCAGTGGAGTACTCAGTACCAAAAACTGAGATAAAAGGAAACCTATACTGTGGAAAACATGGAAGCTGCTACTGCTGACCAGTTGTACACTGACCCAAAACAAAGAAAGTCAGAATGAAGTAAAAATTATTGATCTTGTTCCAAATCAGTGCTTCATAAAGTGTTGGGGTCATTGGCTTAGCATAACAGTCAGTTCATCAGAATTTTCAGAAGGGAATTTAATAAAGGCAGTCTTCATGCTCATTTGGTACAATATTTATATAAATGAAAACAGTGAATGTTATGACTTCAGAACAATGGTAATACTTAATGGGGTTGATTTACTAAAACTAGTGCAGAATCTGGTGCAATTGTGCATGGTAGCCAATCAGTTTCTAACTTCAGCTTGTTCAATTAAGCTTTGACAATAAAACTTGGAAGTTGACTGGTTTTTATGCAGAGCTGCACCAGATTTTGCACCATGCAGTTTTAGTAAATAACCCCCGTATAATATTTTATTAATATAAGTATAATTTTTCTGAAATATTTTACTTTTTGCTTGCAAGTACTCTTTAAAACAGTTTGGCAAAGCCATAGGTTTAAAGTGTATCTAAAGCCAACATTTTGTTTTTAGATTTGAAAAGAGTAAGAAAGGTTGTTTTTTTTTGCACTCTGTGTCCAGTTGTGGAGAATTGCCCTCCCTAGTGTCCTAGTTTCCAAGTTTTCCCAAAAAATTAAACAAATGGGAAATCTTCTAATGGTGTATTTGTTGTGATGATAACTGTCTAATAGAAGATTTCCTTCACTTTGGACAGGTTTTCTCTTACTTCCTGATGTGTCTTTGATACAGAACGTGAAATGAAGTCTCCATGATAGAACACAGAAGGAAGAAAACTAGTTCATGGAGTTTTAACCCTGCCCTCATAGTAGTTTTACTTTTCTTCTCTATCCTAAATTGAAAAAAATATGCTTTACATATACTTTAATGACCCTTCCTTAGCAACATTTAGTTACCTTTCCTTTGCATCTTTGTGGCCCAATTCAGCTGCCAGTATGAAAGAAAAATGTGGTACTCATGAAAATGAGGGGCACGTGACAGTGTTGGTGCTTGTTATTCACTTAAGGTATTTATATAGTGCTGACAATTCACACAACACTTTATACATATACAGTGCATCCAGAAAGTATTCACAGCGTTTAACTTTTGCCACATTTTGTTATGTTACAGCCTTATTCCAAAATGGATTAAATTCATGTTTTTCCTCAACATTCTACAAACAATACCCCATAATGACAACGTGAAAGAAGTTAATTTTGAAATCTTTGCAATTTATTAAAAATAAAAAAACAAAAACCCACATGTTCATACAATCATGAGGTCTACGGACAATTCCTTGGACTTAATGGCTTGGTTTGTACTCTGACATGCACTGTTAACTGTGGGACTTTATATAGACAGGTTTATACCTTTCCTAATGTCCAATCAACTGAATTTCCCACAGGTGGACTCCAGTCAAGTTGTGGATACATCTCAAGAATGATCAGTGGGAACAAGATGCACAAGAGCTCAATTTTGAGTGTCATGGCAAAGGCTGTGAATACTTATGTCATGTGTTTTTTTTTTCCGTTTTTTATTTTTAATAAATTGCAAAGATTTCAAAACAAACTTCTTTCATATTGTCATTATGGGGTATTGTTTGTAGAACTAAAAAAAATGAATGAAAGGCTGTAACATAACAAAATATGGCAAAAGTTAAGCGCTGCGAACACTTTCTGGATGCACTGTATATTGTGCAGGGCCAGTAACAACATGGCCGCCACATTAGGGTGCCAGTATATGGGGGGCGATAAAATCAGCTGGCTGGTTATTTGGATTATTTTACACTCCATACGCACTTGACATGCCAGCTCTCCCCTACTGTGTATCCCTTCTCCTGGTCACTGTCTTCATAGCAAAACAATAAAATGTACACCTCCATCCCCTCTCCACTCACAGAGCACACAGCTACATGGATGGGCTCTGGAATGTCTCTGTGTGACATCACACCACAAACTCCACCAGCCACCCCACAATGGGGGAACACCAAGGATGAGCCATGTGTAAGCTGTAGTCATGTGACTTCTGAGGAGCCCTAGTCAGGATTTGAAAGAATGGAACCGGAAATGTTTGTACACAGAGCAAGAGGTGTGGGGGCTCTGGAGGAGGAAGTAAAATGCACCTTTGCCTATGTAGCCAAATGTCCCTAGTGCTTACCGATAGAGGTGCTAACCACTAAGTCACTGTGCTGCCCATAATTGGGTGAATCTGCTCACATGGGGACAACTAGAGCCCTTAGTCCCTGTGTATGTTCCAACTGGAGCTATTTGGAGACTGCACAAACAGAAGAAGCAAATGAAATGTAAATATTGTGTTGCTGGAGAGTAGGGCATTAATCACCTCCTGCCCGCCATATAGTCCAATGATGGGCACAAGGTGGTTCTCTCGTTCTGGGAGGACGTCATATTATTATTATTATTATTATTATTATACAGTATTTATAAAGTGCCAATGGTTCGCATCAGCGCTGTATACATTACAAAGGGGGACAGAACATGTGACAGAACAATACCAACACACACATGCAAAACATGAGGGGAATTGAGGGCCCTGCTCTTTTCGAGCTTACAATCTAGGAGGGAGGGGATAGTGATACAGGAGAGATAGCTGTGGGGGATGCCGAGTGGTAGGTAAGAGTGGAAAAGGTCGGCAAGTTAGCAGGGGGTGGGGTAGGCTTCCTGAAGAGATGGGTTTTCAGGGTGCGCCTAAAGGAGAGGAGAGTAGGTGATAATCTGATAAGTTGGGGCAGGGAGTTCCAGAGGATGGGTGACACCCTGGAGAAGTCCTGGAGGTGGGCATGGGAGGAGGAGACCAGGAACTAGAGAGAAGGAGGTCTTGTGAGGAGGCGGAGTGTGCGTGCCTGTGGCGGTACTTGGATATTAGGTCAGTGATGTAGTTCGGGGCAGTATGGTGGACAGCCTTTGTATGTCAGCGTTTTAGGATTTTGAATTTGATCCGATTTGCGCAATCGGAAGCCAGTGGAGAGGATTGGCAGAGGGGGGGTGGCGGAGACAGAGCGGTTGGAAAGGTGAATGAGTCTGGCAGCCGTATTCAGGATCAACTGAAGCGGGGATAGCCAGCGGTGAGGCAGGCCAGTAAGGAGGGATTTGCAGTAATCGATGTCGTGATATGATGAGGGAGTGGATGAGCTGTTTAGTGGTTTCTGGGGTTAGGAACGTGCGTATTAAGGCGATGTTGCGGAGGTGGAGTCCTGCACGAGTTTGTTAAAGATTGGACTTGGGGTTGAAAGGATAGTTGTTGGAGTCCAAAATGACACCAATACTACTGGCCTGCAGGCGGGTTTGATGGTAGCGTTGTTGGATGTGACGGAGAAATCAATGGGGGTGGTGTCCGGGCTGGGGGAAGACAAGAAACTCGGTTTTGGAGAGAGGTTCAATTTAAGGAAGTGGAGCGACATCCAGTCTGATATGTCCGCCCAGTAGGTGTGGTGATTCGGGCTGGAATACCAAGGGGGTGAGGTGTGGGGGTTGAGATGAGAGTAGATTTGTGTGTCGTCGGTCATAGAGGTGGGTAGTTTGAAGCCGTGGAGAGTGTATGAGTTGGCCAGGGAGGAGGTATAGATGGAGAAGAGAAGGGGCCCGAGGACAGAGCCTTGAGGGACCCCCAACAGAGAGGGGGAGTGAGGGGGGGAAGTGGTAGCATTATAGGTAACGCTGAAGGAGCGTTGTGACAGGTAGGATGAGAGCCAAGGAGAGGAGCAGAATCTCTGAGGCCTGAGGGAGTGTAGTTTTTTGAGGAGGAGGGGGGGTCGACTGTGTCGAAGGCCGCAGGAGAGGTCATAGGAGTAGGAGCACTGAATAGTGGCCATTAGCTTTGGCGGTTAGCAGGTTTGTTGGAGAGATTGAGTAAGGCAGTTTCGGTGGAGTGTAGGGGACGGAAGCCGGACTGTAGGGGATCGAGGAGGGTTGTTGTCGTTGAGGTGAGAGCATAGGCGGGTGTAGGACTAGGCGCTCGAGAGAGGTTTAGATGTAAATGGGTGGGAGCAGGGAGATGGGTCTGAGGTTGTTCGGGTCATTGGGGTCCAGGGAGGGCTTTTTAAGTATGGGGGAGGGATGTGGTGCATGTTTCAGGGGAGGGGAAGAGTGCCTGAGGAGAGGGAGAGATTGAAGATGTGGGTGAGGGAGCGTAGGATGGAGGAGGAGGAAGGTCATAGGGGTTGTGTGGGGATAGGGTCGAGGGGGCGAGGTGGTGAGGTGGGCATCAGAGAGGATCATTGGAGACCTTCGTCGATGGTAGTAAGGTCAAAGGTGCGGAGTGTGGGGGGAGCTTCAGTATGTTTGTGGTGGGGGGGAGGGGAGGGGGGGGGGGGGGGGGGGGTGGGGGGGGGGGGGTGTCAACAGCTCAGGGAGGTGGTGCAGCGCGGCGATTGGCAATGCACTGTGGTCCCCGTAACACAGCGGATCACCAATCCACGGAAAGAGCCAAAGATGTGATCAGCAGTGTCCAATCACAGCTAATCACATATAAACAGGGAAATGCCAGTTATCGGCATTTTCTCTCCTCACGAGCTGTCACGCTGACAGCTTGAGAGGAGAGGAGAGCCAGTAATCGGCATTCCGTGGAGCGGACATCTACACTGATCATCAGAGCACTTATGATCAGCCCCAGCAGTGCCACCTTTCAGTGTCCATCAGTGCCAGCTGTCAGTTGCTCATCAGTGCCACGTGCCAGTGCCACATCAATGCCACATATCAGTGCCTACCAGTGCACATCAATGCCACATATCAATTTGCCCATCTGAGCTGCCTTTCAGTGTAACCCATCATAACTAGTCAGTGCCACCTATCAATGCCAATCAGTACCACCTACCTAATCATTGCTTGCCAATCAGTGCCATTTATCAGTGCTAGTCAGTGTCACCTATCAGTGCCAGTCAGTGCCGCCTATCATGCGCATCAGTGCCACCTATCAGTGCCCCTCAGTGCCGCCTATCAGTGCCAGTCAATGCCACCTAACAGTGCCAGCCAGTGCCGCCTATCAGTGCCAGTCAGTGCTGCCTATCAGTGCCGCCTATCATTGTCATATATGAGTGCTGCCTTTCAGTGCCCATCAGTGATGCCTGTCAATGCCCATCAGTGCCACCTACCAGTGCCTCCTCATCAGTGCCACCTATCAGTGTCCATCAGTGCAGCCTATCAGTGCCCATCACTGCAGCCTCATTTGCGCACATCAGTGAAGGAGAAAAATCACTTATTTACAAAATTTTATAACAAAAAAACTAAGAAAAAAATTTTTTTTTCAAAATTTTCAGTGGTTTTTAGTTTGTTTAAATGAAAAAATAAAAAACCCAGAGTTGATTAAATACCACCACCAAATAAAGCCCTATCTGTCTTAAAAAAATGATAAAAATGTCATATGGGTACAGTGTTGCATGACCGCACAATTTTCATTCAAGTGTGACAGCACTGAAAGCTAGGAAATTGGCCTGGGCAGGAAGGGGGTATAAAGTGCCATGTAGGCTTGTGGCTAAAGTGAACTCCTTGCTTTGCCTTCCATGGAGGAAAGCACAGGTTCCCTAAGCATGTATTATTAATAGTTCTTCTTCCAATACATTATTATATAATACATATATTTTTAAATAAATGCAATTGAAAAAAAAAATAATATTATTCTGTGGCTGCTCCAAAGCTCATCACCATCACATATACTGCCATACAATTGAATCAAATTCTGCTATCGCAAAGAAAGAGATAAATAATTTAATATTACCAAGTGGAGAGCAAGCCCAGTCATGGTTAAAGATAACTACATTTTTCCAATAAAAGCAGTCATATTTAAAAGTTAGTTTGCTGTGTGTGACAAATGATTAGTATTCTCAAGTTGGAGTTGGAGTAATGGGAATTTATTCAATATGCTGTGCAAGGTTTAAATATATTTTAATTAAAAGCCAAGAGAAGCAAAAATAATCAATGTGACAGGTTTTTGAAGGCGACATTTGGTTTACTTTTCTGAGGTTTTATGTTGACAAAGAATTCCCTTGCACTGTAAAGTATGCTTGTTTCACACATACAAAAATCTGTTATTTGGATTTAGTGTTAAAAACGAGGGATGTGAGAAGTACACCAAAAATAGATTTTTTTAAAGACACATCAATAATAGATTACTGAAGTCTACATGCATTGTACTACAAAATAAACATAAAAGTAAATAATTTAAAGAAGTATGAAAGATTAGCCCACCATAAATATATATTTAAATTTTAGTTGATCTGAAAGAGTTAAAGCCTACTAAAACTTTTTTATTTTTTAAGATAAACTAGGGAGGTGTTAGAACTCAAGATGTTATTACATTATGTCCCAGCCGGGGAGATTATTCCTCCAATCCTGTCCTGGAAGAACTGAGGCAGTGTACCACAAAACAAAGCCACTGTACAAAAAGGGGTTTGATTGTTGTTTGTCTCTGTTTGTAAAAGACTACCTCTGGAGACTGGGGCTGTAGGGGAAGTAAAAAACCTGACAGAGGTTTTAACCATTTTCATTTTGAACCAAAAAACCATATAGTAATTTCTTTCTTTAGTTGTATTTCAGTATCTAGACACGTACAGACATGAGGTAGATTCAAACACATATACTCATTTTTTAAATTTATTTCACATGAAAAATGCAATTGGTAAGTAAATCCCAAGATGGTTTAGAAAACTCAATTCTCCACAAGAGAGATCTTTACACTGATTTTCCAAGAGGAATAAGATACCAGCAGGTAACTTAGCCCATCAAATTTCAAGTGGAACTGAAATATTTATTTTTGAGTTGACTGATGCTTAAAAACGTCTTTGCAAAGCATTTTTTAAATTTAAAAAAGCCATCTTTCACCAGTATAACTACTTGCTATTTATTTTGCTATTCCACCTAACAGTAAATGAGAATAGAGACTTTAAAGCTCTTTATTGCTTTCTCTCCATGTCACAGCACTCTAGCAATGCCTAGATAGCAGCTATGAAACCATGTGCAAAAATCAATTTTTAAATGTCCGATCTGCAGGCTGTATTCTAGGATGCAATGACATCATCTCTTCTTTCTGATTGGCTTGAATTATTTTTTTTTATCATATTCGGTTTCTGACAACTTGTAATTTAATGTAATAATTTATTTGTTAATTGCTGGATTGTAAAACGCTCTTATCTGGAAGTGTAAATAAAGTTAGAATAATAGGCATTAAAAGAGTTTCTACTGAAGTATAATAAAAGACTGCTACACACTCCTAGATTACACCCCTCAGACCTTTTTAATGGGTGGGAGTTGACTCAGATACAATTCCAAAACTCAAACATACACATTCCTGCATCGAAGATTGGCTATACATGTAGGTGGGTGCTGCACAGCTGGAACCCTGAAACATCACAAGGGAGAAATGTCACCAGCATACCAAAGTACTCCAATATGGGTCCAAAGCTTTAATAAGCAATCACATAATTACAGCAAGAGCAATGTTTCTGAGTCTCGCAGGACCCCTTCATCAGGCCGGTGACCTCATGGGTGCAGTGAGACTCTGAAACGTTGCTCTTGCTGTAACTATGTGATTGCTTATTAAAGCTTTGGACCCATATTGGAGTACTTTGGCGTGCTGGTGACATTTCTCCCCTGCAGTTGGCTCAGAGACACCCTCTAGAAGGTAAACAAAAAGCTTCTACCATTGGCAGCTGCAGCTGCTTTTGCTTACCATTGAGATTTTAAGGGTGATTATGAGTGATTGTCATTGGGATCAGTTAACTGCGCAGTTAATCATATACACAAATGGTTGTCATCACCATGTATTTTAATAGAAATATGCCCTGTTCACAGCGTCTGCTTTTGCAATTTTGCCTTTTAAGAAATGTCTGTGACACTCGCTGTCATGCACAGACAGGGATGCAACAGAGTTTTAAAAGTAGAGCATTCAGATGGGCATTTACGAGTGACAGTGACTATATGTTAGATTGGACTTCCTCTGCATGAAATTAAAAACTTTGCTAAATACTTTTTCTTTTTAATCCCATTTATTTCACTGCTATCTATTGTCTGTTTTGTGATATTGTTTCTGTAAATATTGTCTTGCACTTTATTTTTATTTTTTACATGGTATTTTAAAATCTTTAAGCTGCATCTTTGAATGCATTAGACTTTTCGCTAGCAGAGCCGTTTTGGCATTTTGTATACGCATTTCAAAAATTGTAAGCCTGAAGATTGCATAAACCCACAAAACATTATATATTTTCTGAAAGCAGATACCAAGAATATTAGTTGTAGTTGAAATTCTTTATGCCATACAATATTACTGCAAAGGTCTAGGAAATGCAAAATGTCAATAAAAAATATACTAAAGTTAATTTTAGGGTACATAAATGTAATAAATTACCAAAATTTTGGGGTAAATTATCAAAATATGAGGTTGTACCCAGTAAACAGATACATGTCAAACCTTAACATGCTCCCCTGGAATGGAGACAAAATTCACAGTACACTATATTTTCCATAGGCAACGCTTTAAAAGCCCCTTATAGGTCATAAGTTTGGCATTGTGGAGTGCTAGTAATATCACCAGTGCGCAGGGCAATCTGTAACATGTCTACCGCATTTAAAGTTTTCATGCATAGGCATCCCTGATGCGTGCTCTTGCGTTCGTAAATACATACATGTGGTGGTGGGGGGGGACCTCAAAATTTGGGGGGGATTTTATGTGCTTGGGTGTATCCTTCATTTTTTACAATTATTTTTTTTTTCCTCAACATCATTTTTATCACATAGGAGACAAAAAGACCCCTATGTGATGATTTTTTTTGGTGACAGGTTCTCTTCTCTCTAATGAGACATCCAAGGTCTAAAATACCCTGGATGTCTCCCTTTTGCTCCACTGAATTTAATGCAGTGCAGAACTCACTGCATTAGATTCTTTCCTGGCCGCTCTGGCCAGGGACACTGACATGGGAGAATGGACGTGTGTTTGCTCTGTTACCTCCACTCTACCTAGCAGCACCCGCAATGCTGGTCCCAAGCCCACAGATGGGCAAAGCGGAGCCCAGGATACATGATGGTGTGACCCTCATTTTTCATGGAAGGTCCATCGTTAAAAAAGGCCTCTGAAAAAAAACACAGTTGCAGCCAACAACAATGAGTAAATATGTTCTTTGAAAAAACATATGCAGCCTGTTATTACTGTGGTTGAGGGGTTGCAGGACATCAGATGCATTACAGCAGAACTAAAAGCAAAACTTTTTTTTTCTTTTCAATATTGAATACAGTAAAAGAGAATTACAACCCCTGTCATTTTTTTCCATCTGTGTCCCCTTGAGGAGGTTCCCCTTCACTTTCTGTTCTATAGCCAAAACAGAAAGTATGAAGAAATCCCTCCAAACTAAGGGAATCCCTGGCTGTCACCATAATTTACCACAACTAGTGTTCCCATTTCAAGATTTCCCCTCGAGTACTGTTCTGGGGGCAACCCAAAATTTGGAATTTTCTTTCACTTTCACATTCAATGATAATGTAAACATCACAAATAGAAAGCAGAATATTTCTAAAGGCAGCAATAAAAACCTGACAGGTGATTTAATCCCTTTCCACCTTTTTCAAAACTAAAAACAGTTTTACTTTAGTATGAAAAAAAGGTAAAAATACTTTCTTGCCTCTAACCCCAAATTTTCCAAGATATGCAGCATTTTGCTACCTACTTGACATTTAGGGTTTCAATCTACTTTAACAAACCTGTCAGCCCTACGCTAGTCTCTGTGTATGCATTTTAACAGAACCATTCCCTACACTTTCCCTGTCACAGCTAAAACATTTTCTCAAAATGGTTGTTGTGACCTCTCCCTTTTATAGGGAGGGGGTTAGCTTATCCAGAAGTGCCTTTATTAGCCCTTTTATACCAGCTGACCTAAGTTGAAAGACCAGGCAGTGTAATTATAGTTGCAATGGCAAACTCCAGCATTATTGCACTGGGATTGTAAAAGTTGATTCACTGGGGAAACCATGGTAGCGGTGTTCCTGAATGTCATACTTAGTCTAATGCTGATTATGACGTTTTAACTGGCGTGAAATAGGGAATAGTGACTTTTGTCTACATCTTACTTTAGCCTGAAAATGCACCAGGATCTTGATTTAATGGCGTGAATGGTACACTTTATTCTTTACAAGTTCCGGTCTATCATTTTTGTTGCTAGACTGAATTGTAAAAAAAATTGAAAATGTCTTATTATTTGCTTTAGGTAGCAGTACTTTTTTTCCATGCAAGTGAACCCCAATATTCTTTAGAAAGATTTCTATAACAATGAAGAAAACAATTCAGCTTAGGTTGAAACTAGACA